TCAAAAAAAAAAAAAAAAAGAAATGATAAAGGGGAAATAACAACTAATGTCACAGAGATACAGGAGGTCATCTCTGAATACTACCAGAAACTCTATGCCCAGAAATTTGACTATGTGAAGGAAATGGATCAATATTTGGAATCACACCCTCTCCTTAGACTTGGCCAGGAAGAAATAGAGCTCCTGAACAGACCATTTCAAGTGCTGAGATTAAAGAAACAATAAAAAGTCTTCCAACAAAAAAATGCCCTGGTCCGGATGGCTTCACACCAGAATTCTATCAAACCTTCAAGGAAGAGCTTATTCCCGTACTGCAGAAATTATTCCAAAAAATTGAGGAGGAAGGAATCTTCCCCAACACGTTCTACAAAGCAAATATCACCCTGATACCAAAACCAAGAAAAGAACCAACTAAAAAGGCAAATTTCAGACCAATTTCACTAATGAATATAGATGTAAAAATTCTCAACAAGAACATACCATGCTCATGGCTGGGAAGAATCAACATTGTTAAAATATCTATACTTCCCAGAGCAGTCTATCGATTCAATGCCGTCCCTATTAAAATACCAACATTGTACTTTCAAGATTTGGAAAAAATGATTCTGTGGTTTGTATGGAACCAGAAAAAACCCTGTATGGCTACGGCAGTTCTTTGTAATAAAAACAAAGCTGGGGGCATCAGCATGCCAGATTTTAGGCTGTACTACAAGGCCATACAGGGTAAGACAGCATGGTACTGGCACAAAAATAGAGACACAGACATTTGGAATCGAATAGAAAACCAGGAAATGAAACTAACATCTTATAACTACCTAATCTTCAATAAACCAAACAAGAATATACCTTGGGGGAAAGACTCCCTACTGAATAAATGGTGCTGGGAGAACTGGTTATCCACATGTGAAAGACTGAAACTGGACCCGCACCTTTCTCCATTCACAAAAATTGATTCAAGATGGATAAAGGACTTAAATTTAAGGCATGAAACAATAAAAATCCTCAAAGAAAGCATAGGAAAAACACTGGAAGATATTGGCCTGGGGAAAGACTTCACAAAGAAGACTGCTGTGGTAATTACAACAACAAAAATAAACAAATGGGACTTAATTAAACTGAAAAGCTTCTGTACAGCTAACCAGACAACAATCAGAGCAAATAGACAACCTACACCATGAGAAAAGATATTTGCATATTTTGAATCAGACAGAAGCTTGGTCACTAGGATCTATAGAGAACTCAAATTAATCTACATGAAGAAAGCCAACAGTCCCATATATCAATGGGCAAGAGACATGAATAGAACCTTCTCCAAAGAAGACAGATGAATGGCTAACAAACATATGAAAAAATGCTCATCATCCCTAATTATTAGAGAAATGCAAATCAAAACCACCCTAAGATACCATCTAACCCCAGTGAGAATGTTCCACATCACAAAATCTCAAAACTGCAGATGCTGGCATGGATGTGGAGAGAAAGGAACACTTTTACACTGCTGCTGAGACTGCAAACTAATACAACCTTTTTGGAAGGAAGTATGGAGAACCCTCAAAGAACTCAAGTTAGACCTCCCATTTGATCCTGCAATCCTATTACTGGGCATCTATCCAGAAGGAAAACAATCCTTTTATCATAAGGACATTTGCATTAGACTGTTTACTGCAGCTCAATTTACAATCACCAAAATGTGGAAACAGCCTAAATGCCCACCAACCCAGGAATGGATTAACAAGCTATGGTATATGTATACCATGGAATACTATTCGGCCATTAAAAAAATGGAGACTTTACAGCCTTTGTATTAATCTGGATGGAAGTGGAACACATTCTTAGTAAAGCATCACAAGAATGGAGAAGCATGAATCCTATGTACTCAATTTTGATATGAGGACAATTAATGACAATTAATGACATTAATTAATTAAACAGCAGTGGGGGTAGGGGAGGGGGAAAGCAGAGAGAGAAAGAAGGAGGGGGGGAAGGAAGAATAGAGAGAGGGAAGGAGGGAGGGGGTGGGGTCTTGGTGTGTGCCACACCTTTTGGGGGCAAGACACAATTGTAAGAGGGACTTTACCTAACAAACACCATCAGTGTAACCTGGTTTCTTACATCCTCAAGGAATCCCCAACAATAAATTAAAAAAAAAAAATGTAATTCATGTTCAAATAAAAAATAAAAAAGGGCAACAAACGAAAAGCTATACCTCCCAATAAAACCCATCTCAAATCTGGGGAAACAAACAATATAGAGGAACTGGCAGGGCTCCACGATATGGCTCCTGCAGAAATGATTGTGACTGCAACACCATAGCCCATTATTTCAGGATGAAAGTGGCGGAGAAACTGCCAGGAGGACAGGCAGGATGGCTCCCATTACAAAACCCCAACTCATAGCGCATCGCCCTGAAACCTGGTCTTTCTGAACTGGAGATCACAGTGTCCCAGGGAGCAGGATGTGGCCACCAGGGTCCTGGTGTTCGCGAACATCAGCAAGAACTTTGCCCTCTCACTCAAGTTCGGCTATTGGCTCTGTCAGCAACATGGCATCTGCCAATGTTCACAGCACTGTGCGTGCCTTGGCTAGCACTGTGAAGCACAATGAGGACTATTCCCAAGGGCCATGCGAGTGCAGCCACCTTCCTTTTGCCGAGGACATCCCACTCCTACCTGGCATGCTATTCGTCCACACTGTGGATCCACCCTTATTTGGCAGCAGTGGTGTTCATGACCCATGACCTCCGTCAGCAGAAGCCTCAACACCCTGCCCTTTGCCTGGGTAAAGTACAGAGGATGAGGGTCTGTACCTCTGGCCCAAAGCTTCCCTGGACATGCATGCACTCACCCCTACCCTGTTGACCCACAGAACTGTGGCCACTGATGTCTCAGGCAGAAAGCCTCAGATGTTTCCTATTTCTAGGACTCTGCCCATGAAGCCACTCACCATGAACAAAACAGTAATCCCTGTCACCACCTGGTCAGCCGGGTGCTGTAGCAACACATGGGCCATCCAGAGTGGCACAGAGCCCATTTCATGATAAGGACAGCAGCCAGCACTCTTGTGGGTGGATGAGGAGCCTCCCCCCAGAACACTGCATTCAAACCATTCCGTGCACAGCTTCCCTCTCACGTCCAGGATTGGTGCCTGTCCTGAACCAGGTCTTGGGGAGGTCTCAGAGAGGCCGTGTGGCTCACGATCCACAGAGGGTCATGTGCTCCCTTCCTACAGCAAGCAGTAGTGGCTGTCCCAGGCAGCCACTGACACCGGGGAGTCACCCAATGCCCGGAGCCCAGGCACTGTTGAGGCAAGCCAGGGTGAGCCGCAGGTGTGTTTCATCAAATCCCCGTCTTTCCTGAGTGACAAGAGCTCAGAAACACACATCAGTAACCCTGGTCAGTGCTGGTCCAGAGGTCAGCCTGTTCCCACCCAGGGGTCAAAACCAATGGGACAAGCAAAATTAATGAGGCTACACAAACACACAACTGGCAAGTCATTACTCTCTGTCATGCCCCAAAAACTCATATCTGTGTTTTTTTGTTTTTGTTTTTGTAAGACAAAAGTCTCAGTCTATTGCCCTAGGCAGAGTGCCATGGCATCATAGCTCACAGTAACCTCAAAGTCTTGGGCTCAAGGGATCCTTTTGATTCAGCCTCCCAAGTAGCTTGGACTACAGGTGCCCGCCACAATACCTAGCTAATTTTTCTATTTTCAGTAGAGACAGGGTCTTGCTCTTGCTCAGGCTGGTCTTGAACTTCTGAGCTCAGGTGATCCACCCACCTCAGCTTCCCAAAGTATTGGGATTACAGAAGTGAGCCACCATGCTTGGCCTATGTTTTGACCACAGAGTCTGTCCTCGTCCCAAAGACTCCTCCCACCCCTCATTCCTGGGGCCCTGCCATGTTCTCACCTGCACTTCCGAGTCAGCATCCACATGCTGCAGTGGGAACCAGGTGTCTCTGTTGTGGTACTTCTGCAGGTCGTCTTTCCGGATGGCCACCTTCCCTGCAACACAGGTGCAGAGGGGAAGCTCACACCACAGTAACTTATCCCAAACAGCCTGATTCAAACAGTTAGGTGTCTCATGGAAGGTACACATCATGCCCTGTCCACAGAGCACGTTTGCACAGCACCCTCTCTGTGTGAGGGACAGCTTGGGCCTGGATGGGAGCTGCTCTGTGAATTTGCATTTCTGTGCCAAAACATCCTGGTTCCAAAATACAAACAGGAGCAGAACCCACTTTATATAGTTTTTATAAGAATTTAATGGAAACATGCATTTTCCTAGAAGAACTGACACTTAGAACATGTGAATGCCTACATGTAGCACACAGGTGCGCTCAAGGGCAGCAGTCATACAGCTCACATGATGCTCTAGTTATTCATAGGAGGATGGACAGTGCCAATGCAGCTAGACTGAGCCCAGCAGTGGATCTAGCCTTGGAACAGGAGTCTTTCCAAATGCAATCAGTGAGCTGCCTGGAGACCCCTGCACCTGCCCAGTGGCCTCCGAGCACTGGGGATGGTGCTACCTATCGCTTCCATCAGGGAGGGACTGCATAATCACAGCATGCACATGGGCACACATGTCCACATGCTACATGGCATGTGCAAAACAGAAATGACAGAGGACAACACGAGCATCAAGGACAAGCACCAGTTCTCTCCTCAGAGGAAGACTATTTTGTTGCTGGCTCTTCCCTGGGCTCCCAACCAAGGCCTGGCCTGGCACCCAGCAGCCTCATGCCTCAGCCTGACTACTCTCCTGTCCAGTTTCTAGAACATTCTCCCTCGAGGCCCTCACACACTCCACCTCATTCATACTGCAGTGGTCTTGGGGGGCAAGTTCTGTGAGGTCTGCAATTAAATTCACAAGCTTGCCACTGTGCACTTACATTGGCAGCACTGTACAAACACTAAGGCTTCATAACCCTAGGATATCAGTGTCCCATGGCTGTGTTCGTGTTGACGTGTGGTGGTATCTTCCTGAATGGTGTTCATTATTGTTGTTGCATGTTTTTGTGTGCTGTCATGAGAATGTTGGAGCTTGGAGTAGAATAATGAATGGACATTAGATTTTTTGTTAAAATTAGCAAGAGTGAAAGTAAAATCAGGAGTACATTAGTCCAAGTTAATGAGGATAAATGCCATAAGGAAAACAGCAGTGTACAAATGGATTAATTTTTTTTCTGATGGGAGAGAAACCATCACTAATGAAGAGAGGCCAGGGTGGCCAGTAACCAGAAGAACTGATGAAATGTTGAAAACGTTCATCAAATTTTGCATCAAAATTATTGGCTGACTGTGAGAAGCATAGCAGACCTAGTAAAACATCAATAGAGAAACAGGATAATCTTAACTGAAAATCTTGGCTAATAACTCATGGTTCTTGTATCACAACAATGCACCAGCTTACACAGCACTGTCTGTGAGGGAGGTTTTAGCCAATAAACAAATAACTCCCTCCCTACTCACCTGATCTGGCCCCTGGTAACTTTTTCCTTTATCTGAAGATTAAGGAAATATTAAAAGGAAGACATTTTGATAACATTCAGGACATCAAGGGTGGAAATGATGACAGCTCTGATAGCCATTCCAGAAAAAGAGTTCCAAAATTACTTTGAAGTTTCAATGAGGTGCTGGTATTAGCACATAGGTTCTCAAGGGGAGGATCTCAAAGGTGACCCTAGTGATATTTGGCAATGAGGTTTGTAGCACTTTTCCTAGGATGAGTTCACAAACTTAACTGTCAGACCTACTTCATGTTTTTAGACAAGAAAACTAAGGTCAAGCATGGACAGAGGCATCCACATGGCCCGGCAGGGGTGTGGCCCCTGCCTGCAGGCTCTGCGGCCTCCAGTTCCTGCCTGCCCTCCTCCTCTTCTGGTCCTCAGCCTGTGGTCCCCAGTACAATCCCCCAGCTGCTGTGCTGGACCTCCAGGACCCAGACTCTGCTCCCAAAGGCTCCTGTGAGCCTGTCCTGAAGACACCATACACCACTACGGGGGAACCAGGACATGTGGCAGGTGAAAACCCACAGGAAACAGGTTCCCAAGTGACAGAGGGGCATGTGCAGCTGGGACAATGTGCCCCCCATGTCCCAACCCTGCTCTGCTAGTCATCTTTTTGGCCCATTCATGTCATCTTGTGCTCTTAGGGAAGAGGCTGCACCATACACTTCCCATGCTGTAGGACAGCCATGGAAAGACTACGGTAAACCCCCTTTCCTAGCAAGGAGCAGTGCAGTGATTCTGACTCACCAGGCAAGGGTCAGGTGATTTCACCTGGAGGTGGGTGCACCTTACACACACTATGGTTGGTTTGACTGACCATGGTGACCTCTGCCCAGTGCCAGCCACATAACTGTTCAGGGGAGAGCTGTGCAGCTGCCATATTGGATGCCACACTATAAGCACATAGCCTGGAGGTGGAACAGCAGGTGTGGTATAGCCCAGAGGTGGGACAGCAGGCGTGGTATAGCCCAGAGGTGGAACAGCCGGTATGGCACAGGTCACAGGACATGTGCCCTGGAACTCAGAGAGAAGCTGCGTTCCATAGGGGAGCTCCCTTGTCCAGCCTGGCAGTGACAGCCACACGTGGACTCCAGGCATCCATCTGATCTCCACCCTGCTAGGTCTCACCATCTGGGCATTCTCCAGCCACCAGAGGGTGAGGACAGGGCCCTCTTGCTGAGGGGTCTCTTGCTGCTCAGCCTTCACTAAGCCACCTCCTTCCACCAACGAGAATGTGATTTTTGAGTCTCATAGGAATAAAGCCTCATGAAACCAAAATTATCTTGATTATCAAGATAATTTTTGGTTGATATCAACCTTATCAACCAAAATTGAGAGACAATATATTCTAGTACAAAGGGAAAAAGAAACCTTCGGACACCATGGTTACTCACAGGGCTCTGCAGGACAGGCAGGTGCTTTCGAAACCTGAAATTTAAGTAACTACAATGTTACTGCTTCTTCACAATTTTAGGAGCTGAAACTGGACCAGGTAGTGTTACATATCTAGTATTAATGTGAATCTGGTAACTTAAACATCACTGTTGGTCTTTATTTTTAAAGTACCTCACTTAATTTTTTAATACATATAAGTAATACACTAACACAGAATAAAATTCTAAACCTCCAAGGATTAGTATGTCTAAGATACAGACACGAATGAGTCGCTCTCTCTTCTGCCACCTCATTGCTAGTCTGGGGTCACCTCTGTTACCAGCTGCCACTCCTTCCTTCCACAGGTCACCACATTCAAGATGTTTCTAAATGCTATTCTGTGAGAAAAACTGTTTGAAAACCCACATTGTCACCCTAAATTTCTTTGCTGTGTCATAATCTAAAAAGCCGTTTCAACCTATTTGAATGATATCAGCCAACACCCAGGCCAGGCCTTCCCATACCTCCAGCATCCTCACCACAAAGGACCAACCTGCCTCCCTCCTCCCTGTAAAGACAAGCTCAGAAAAGAGAAGAGAGGAAACTGAGAGGAACCACCCAGGCACGACTGTGCAGCAAAGGTACATGACCTGGGGTCCTGGCCAGAGCAATGGGTCAAGAAAAAAAAACAAAAAGAGTATACAGTGGAAAGTATGAAACAAAAAGCCTTTATTCATAAAAAATCTGCCAAAAAAAAAGCTGTAAGAAAAGCTAAGAGGCTGATTGGTGTGTTCAGCAAAACCACAAAACACAGTCAATATATCAAAATCAACTGTATTTGTACACACAAGCAATGACAATGGAAACTAAAATTAAAGAAAGTGCCATTCAACAAATTCCACTTTTACAGTTTGTGCTCCTTTAAAAACACAAAAGATAAAAGAATAAATTTTTTTAAATGCGCACAACGTATATGCTGAAAACACATCACAAAACGCTGATGAAAGAGGTTAAAGGCCTAAGCACATGGGAAGACACGCTGTACACCAGTCAGAAGACTCAATTTCATTAGGGTGTCCACTCGCCCCCAAGTTACCTACAGATCAATGCAATCCCAACCAAAATTCTTCTGACAATGTTTTGGAAATTGAGAAGCTAATTCAAAAACATTCACAGCACAGTGGCTGTCATGTAATCCCAACACTCTGGGAGGCCAAGGCAGGAGGATCTTTTGAGTTCCACTCTGACCACTCTGAGTAAGAATGAGACCCCATCTCTACCAAAAATAGAAAAACTAGCTGGGAGTGGTGGTGGTCACCTGTAGTCCCAGCTACTTGGGAGGAGAATCACTTGAGCTCAGGAGTTTGAGGTTGCTGTGAACTGTGATGATGACACTGCACTCCAGCCTGGGCAACAGAGCAAGAGCCTATCTCAAGAAAAAAAAAAAAAAGAAAGAAAAAGAAAAAAAAAAGTACACAGCATTTTGAAGGATTTGGAATAGCAAAACAAGTTTAAATAAGAACAAATTTGGTGGCTTGGCACCTGTGGCTCAAGCGGCCAAGGCGCCAGCCACATACACCTAAGGTGGCGGGTTTGAATCCCCAGCCTGGGCCCGCCAGACAACAATGATGGCTGCAACCCAAAAATGGCCGGGCGTTGTGGCAGGCGCCTGTAGTCCCAGCTACTTGGGAGGCTGAGGC